GTTAAAAATGGCTCAGTGGAGATTTGTCTGGCTCCACGTGGACTGTTGGATACCATTCGGAACCTAGAGAATCGAGTGTCCAACTTGTAGACTGTGCAAAAAAAATCGAACAAATCGAATTTTATTATAAAATTTATCCGATTAATGAAAATTTTAAGAATAATTAAATAAATCAAAAACACAACTAGTCTAGCCCATTCACTTTATTACTTTAAAACTTTAAAATTTAAACTTTAAAATATGTTATAAAATATAACTTGAAAAATATTTATGAAAGAAATATCAGAAAAAGTATCTAGAGGAAAAGAAAGTATTTAAAAAGAGTAAAAAAAATGTTATTTAAATATATATTTACAAATGAAGTAAGAGCCATATTTATAAGCTAAGAACCTCTTATTTAGATAAATTTACAAGATGAACATAATATTGAAAGATTAGATGGATGAAATAAATTCTAATGTTGATATAATTTAATTTACATCTAAATTTTACTATAGATAATATAAATAGATATTCATAAAAATATTCATAATACTATCTCTTGAATATCTATTGTATTAAGAATATATCTTGTTAAAACCTTACAAGGAAACAACCTCATAGAAAAAAATTCAAGTGAAGGAAAAAGAATACAAAATTATTTTTAAGAATAAACTTTTAAAGTATTGTCTCATCAAAAACCTTATCAAGATAAACTTAGTATGAAAACTTTGATGAAAAAAAAAAGTATAGTGCGTATTTTACTTTTCTTATTGATTACATTATTTAAGATCTTTAAAACGGTACATTCTAATCTTTTATACCAACTTTTCAAAAGTTACAATAGGAAATGCTTTAGTGAACTAATCTATTAAATTGTCATTTGAATGAATCTTTGATGTATCATTCTTTCAATTGAGCCAGGCACGCAACATTATCCTCATATGGCGTTGTTGGATTTTTCCTTTTGATTGAAAACCCACACAATCCTCAAATATGTTGAATGACAAATCTTAACCAAACACAATCATGGCTTACCTCATAAATTGCTAAAATTTCTACATTGTTAGAAAACATAGCAACAATAGTTTGTTTTACAAAATACCATAAAATACTCATACCTCCATATATGAATAAGAAACATATTCGAGATCGAGTCTTGTGTGGATCAGATAAATATTCTACATCTGCATAACCAATTAAATTTGATTTTAATACCTTTAAGTAATATAAACCCATGTTCATTGTTTCTCAAAAATATCGAAGTATAAATTTAATTTCATTCCAATATCTTTTAGTTAGAAAAGAATTATATCTTACTAATAAATTTACAATAAATATATCTAGTCATATATTGCTATTAAGATACATTAGTGCTCAAATGGCATTAAGATATGGTACTTCAAGGTCAAAAAGTTCTTCATTATCCTCAAGAAGTCGAAAAGGGTTTTTCTTTTCACATCTAGCGATCTTACAACCATTAGAGAACTCAATGGATATGCTTGTATACATAGAATCGCTTTAATATTTTTGCTAAATAATTTAATTGATAGATAAAAATTACATTTGTCAAGTGCTCAATTTGAAAACCCAAACAAAATTTTATCTTTTCAAGGTCTTTCATTGCAAATTATTTTTTTAAATAATTCACGACTTTTGATAACTTTTCAAGAGTTTCAATAATGTTTAGGTCATCAATATAAACAGTAATTATGACAAATTCAAATACAAATCTTTTTATAAATACACACGGGTATATAAGATCATTTATAGCCTTTTTTCAACAAATATTCATTAAGGCGATTATACCACATGCTTCCAAATTGCTTAATTCATATAAAAATTTATTTCATTTGATCGAATAAATTTCTTGAAATTTCAAATTTCGTGCTTTAGGCAACTTAAATCCTTTAAGAATTTTCATATGGATATTGTTATTAAGTGGGTCATATAAATAAATTGTAACTACATTCATTAGATGCATTTCAATATTCTCATTTATTGCTAGATTAATTAATATTGTAATTACATCCGCCACAAAGAATATATCTCTTCATACTCAATACTAGGTCTTTGGTTAAAACCCTGTACGACAAGCCGTGCTTTATAGCTTCTAATCTCATTTTTCTTATTTCATATTCACACAAATGCCCATTTATATCCCACTAGTTTTACACCATTTGGTGTATGGACTACAGATCCAAAAACCTCATTTTTTGCAAGTGAATTTAGCTCCACCTTGCATCTTTCCATGCTAACCAATCATTTTTATGTCAACATTATTCAACATATGTACGTTCAAGATTCTCATTTTCTTTCATAATATTGAACGTTGCATTATGTGTAAAAATATCGTCGACTTTTATTTCATTCCAGTTCTATCTCTTCCCATCATGACATAATTTATTGAGATCGCTTCATTTTCACTAATTTCATGTACGTGGATTTATTCTGGAATTTTATCAATTATGTTAGGGGTCACTTCTAGAGTTTATGTTTGCTTTTCTTGACTATCTTGAATATTTGTTTCGTTTATTTTTTGAGAATTTTTATCTTTGGAACCAATTGGTTTCCCACACTTTTGGTGTGCTTTGTCTTATAAGGACATTAATGCTAATAGGAGCATTTGCAATGGGTATATAAGATTTAATTATTCTCTTTAAGTCAGTAAATACGTCAGGCAATTGATTTATTATGTTTTGCAAAAGAATTATCTTTTGAACTTCAAGTTCATATTGATTTGTGCGAGGATCAAAACTAAATAATAATAATAATAATAATAATACATTTCAAGATATTTTCTTTTCTAGTTGGTTATTTTCTCTCCCTAATGTTGGAAAAATTGTATTATCAAAATACAATTGGCAAACATTATCGTGAATAAATCTCCTATTGAAGATTCAAGATATTTAATTATTGATGGAGATTCATATCCAACATATATTCATAACCTCCTTTGAGGACCCATCTTTGTGAGTTGTAGTGGAATAATTGAAACATATACTTCACATCTAAAAATTCTTAGATGGAAAATATTTGATTATGGATCATAAACCAATTTTATAAGGGAAAATTTATAATAACTAGTTGGCATAATGCGTACAAGTCTAATACACCCGAAATAGCATGCCCTAAATAGAAATTAGGAGTTTAGATTTTATATTCAATGGCCTTGCAATCAATTAAAAGTATTTAATAAATGATTCTGCTAGATAATTTTATATATGAACATGAGCAACAGACTATTCAATAGTTATTTCAACTAATACGCAATATTAAAGGTTTGAGATGTAAATTCATCAGCATTATTAAGACATATAGTCTTGATTGTATAATCAGGAAAATATGCTTATAAACAAATGATTGCAAATGCCAAATTGCAAGCTAAAA